CCAAGCACCTTTTGCTGTAGATCAAACACCAGAAGAGTACTTTTGGTTCCATTCAGTTCGATACAGGATCAAAACACCCACCCCTTTCTACAGAGATTATTCAGCTCAAGACACACAGCCAGCAAGCTTCACCAAAATTGTTTTGTTGTGATCTGAGATAAAGATGACTGTTCAGAGCTACACCCTTCTACCTACAAAGCTTTCTGCAATGATTAAAAATGGGCAGAATGAGCTTGAGAGCAATGCTGAAAGCCTGAGGGGGAGAGGGGGGGTGAAAAACCAAAACCAAAACAAGCAGTTTGAGCAAGAATTTATTCTTCTACTGAAATAACTACAAATAACAAGACAGACTAATTCCCCAATTCTTTTGGCTAAAATGTCGGAGTACGATGGAATCCATCCCTCAAATAAATGCATGCTTTGAAAAAGGAAAAATAAGAGTTACTTTTGTGATTTGTGCCTCGCAGCCAAACTTGAATGACCCTGAGAGAAGCCTGTGCAGACAAATCACAAGATTTATGTGCAGCTGGTTAGATCTGTTTCCCACCTCCCTTCGTGTTATTGCTCTGCAAATTGCAGAATGTGGGGTTTTTTTTTAGTAAGTGCTAATCTTGACTAAAATCCATCATAAAGAGTGCTACAATATTGCTTTTTTATTACAAATAGCCAGAACTTCTTTGAAAATATAAATGTGTAAAACAACCCACCGACTGTACAGTGCATTTACAGGACACAATCCAGAAAGTAGCATGCAGTGTAAAAACTGCTTTATACATTAGCCCTTGCCCACAAAGAACCTGGCAGTACTACCACGACTTATCAATGACTATGGAGTGAAAAAAAAATAATTAAAAAACCCAAAAAGCTCAGTTACACCTAACTTCACCATGAGACTGGGATACATACATCATTGTACAAGGAAGAGTTGCTTTTAGCTAGAAACTGTCATCATGTTGTAACTCTTGGAAGGGCTGGATCTGCCAGTTCTCCACTCCTCCTTGCAACTGGTCCTGCTCTCCAGCTGTTTGGCCGCCTTCCCCCCAGGCTGAGGGCTCTCGTACAGCACACAGATAGACCCATCCTCACCTATGCGATAGGACACTTCGAAGGGGTCGACCCACAGAGTTAATTCGCTGGGTAAGAGCTGGAAGAGCCTCTCGTGGCTCAGTCCGATCATCCCCGCCGCTTTTCCTATCAAGGGGTCCATCTTATGGTTGATCCTGATGCAGCGGTACCCGGAGCCCTTGGAAGGCACCAGGGGGAACCAGTGGTGTTTGT